TTTGTATAGCGCAAGGGGGTGATTCCATTTTTTTGCTCGCGAGTGTAGTTTATGTAGCCGTAATTTTTCACATTTGTTACTTGTTGATGTATGGACATATCATCTGTTGGGTAATTTTCCGAAAAATTTCTAATAGTGGAAATTTCTGTGAAAAATCACCATTTAAAAATTTGGAAAAATATAATTCGAAGGCTCATATTATGTTCTACGTTTATAAATATCTTATCAAATTTTATTTACCGTTAATTGTATGAGAAAAACGATATTTAAAATGACTGGACAAAAGCGAAAAAGAATTAGATAAAAAAATCATCCTTTATAGTGGCTCCATCGTTTTCAAATGTGGAAAAATATAGAAAAAATATTCGGAAAAATATTTATTTGTCTGAAAAATATGAATTTTCAAAATGGATTTTTTTCCATGACCCAACACTAGTCATGCCACACTTAGCTGTACTGCTTATTACGGAGGGACTTAAAGGGTCAATATTTGCGTCAGGTTCCATAACAGCCGCCTGATCGTGCGATGCGCGCGTGAGGTGCGTGCTGGTGGCGAGGTACTGAACTGCTACGGGCCGCACCGCGCACGCGAGCCTGCACGCCACCGCCGAGCACAGCTTCGCGCGCAGTACTTCTTTACGTGTAACTGCACTGCGTGTGTTGATACGGAGAGAAAGGACTTTGTGGTAACCTATTAAGCTACTCTATTTTTAGCCGACGTCAAAAAAAGGAGGAGGCTCTCAATGTTGGTTATGCGATAACTTGTGAACCGTTTTTGATGATCTTCTTTTGTTGGAAAGAGGGTTTCTTGTTTAAATTTGAAGAAAATTTAACCAATTCTACCTCTAAGGGTGGCAAACTAGGGGATGAATCCGGTTTCGTGCACTTTCTGGTAACTGATTTCAAGGACACTTGGGAAATAGATGTCATTCCACGCACTTTTGAGGTCGGTTTTTTTAGTACTCTACTGAGATTATTCTGAATCCGGTTATCTAAACTACATTGAATGAAGACAACCAAGCATACGTTATAGCAGAAAATGTTCTGTCTTTTGGTGCAGTAAATGACGTGGAATTTACACTGCTTTTTTGCATTGAGTAGAGTTTGCCGAAGGTAGAAGTCATGCTGGACAGTGATCCTATGAGTGACTGTCGATATTAGATTTAATTTTTTTAAATTTGGAATTTCGAAAAACAAATGCCGAGTTGAGTTCTAAAATTATACATCCATAAATATTACTGCACGTTACTATCGAGAACCATTACATCAATTAGCTCGTTCAACGTAGTTATTAATTTATACTAAACTTGATGAGCGTACAAACGTCAAAACGGTCATTGTAGCGTGCCGGTACTTTAGTGATTGAATAAATGAATATGGCATTCCACTAACAACTGAAGATTTTAGGAGAATAACAAATATTATCACATAAGCCATGTAATCTCAGAGGAGTTTCAATCAAATTACAATGACCAGTGTGTTTTTAAGGAATTAAGCAGAATTTGACCCCTACGTAAAGTATCGTATGTCGAAATTGCCAAGTGGGTAGCGTTTTAAAGTTCTCCATTTTATTCGGCAAAGCTCGTTACTCATCTAATAGATCATTCATCTAACCGGTATCTAGGATTTTATAATAATAATAACGCACACACTCAACATAGCCCCACACATAGACAACCACAAATTACACCCAAACTCACGAGATATGTAAATGTAGGCCATACAAATATTTCTCCCGGCTCGGGAATCGAAGCTGGGGCCTCTGTGTAGCAGTCCGGCATGGCAACCGTTGCGTGTTATACTCTTATGTAAGTAACGAGCATTGCCGCATAAAACTGAGAAATGTCACGTGTTATGCTTATTTCAGGGAATTCAGAACTTTCAAAGGCTCCACTGTAAACTTGGCAATTTCGACATACGATACTTTACGTAGGAGGGGTCGAATTGTGGCCCTGAAGTTGTGTCGACATTAGAGAACACCAATACTGCTATTAGATACATTAGTAAGTTTTGTACATATTTTCAGCTGATGTTCAACGCGTACGCATGCCAATCGTGTAAGGGTCCAGTGCTGGGTGCCACGTGTGCGCAGTGCCGTGCGCCATTGCGCCGCGACCATGCGCGCGCGCTTCTTGAGCGCGCCGATGACCTCGACGCTCATGGTAAAGCCTAATTTAGATTCCGAAATTAGTGTCATAATAATTATTTTTGATACAAGTGCGGAAAGTTAGTCATTAATCACGAGACTCGAGGCCCGAGGCAGAGGCGAGGGTCAAGACTCGAGACACATGTATCAAACGGCGTTTTTTTAATATATTTGCGAAATAACTACATTGAAAGTAAAATAAAACAGTATTTGAAAAAAAAACTCATTTCTTTGTCTTATAAAAATTCAGAGTACAATGGCAACTGTTGCCATTGTACTACTTTAGTGGCGCGGCGCGCAGCGGTCTCGTGTAATACTCACTCCGGTCATAGTTAATACTCAATTAGCCATCTTCATGGAATTTTTTTATGGTATTTTTAAATGTAACCCGTTGTTTTATAAAATACCTATGCAATTTAAACAAATAATATGTTTGTAAGTAAATATAAGTTTAGTGACGAATGACTTACGTCACAAAGCACATAAATATTAAATAAATATACATCCTCTTTAGTTCTATGCTTAAGACTTGAAACAACAGTCAATTAAAAAAAAACGGAAATGTAAAAAGCACTAGTGCAAAAAATCCAACTTTCGACACGATTTGTAGTACGAAAAATACCACGTTTTGAGCAACTGTATTAAAAAGTTCATTTTATGACATTAATTTCGTGTGTAAGTTTCTCGCGTAAACGCGTTTGTTTTTTGAAGTGTCAGGTAAATTTGTTAAATCTTCATTTACTGACAAAACCGACTGGTTAAATCCTACGGTTCCATTTTTTTTGCCCCTCAAGGTTCTTGCACAGAGAATGTAAATTTTAAAATGCTTTGACGTGCAGCAGCGCGGGCGGTGAGTTTAGAGACACGGTGCGAGCTGGCACACGCTGCGTTGCGCATTCGACAACAGGCGTGGCATCGGCACCACGTTGCGCTACGCGATGCCGCCGACAATGTTGCGCGTCTCTACGCTGACCTCGGTTTGTACGCTATTTATTTATTAGAAGTTGCTAGTACAGCTTTTACAAAGCTTATTTTTAAGTTTAATATGAAGAAAAAACGAAGAAAGAAATAGTGAGGAAGAAAGTTGGAACTATATTCCTTATTTTAAACCAAATTACAAAAGACTTTATCCTAAAAAATCCAATAATTACGAATTCAAAGTTTTTGTTCAAAGTCATAGAAGATAATGTGACTTAAGTGAAAGTGAAAACATAAATATAGTCTCCCGCTGCTTAAGACTCTTTAAAAAACCAAAATAAGTGAACTAAGCTATTTAAAATAAAGTGAAAACATAATTCATAATAAATAATAAGTATTAGAACCACAATGGAAAATATTACTGATGATCCCGATAATTAAACGAAGACATGGCTCAAAGCACTCGTATCCAAGCCAAAACTCTTAATAAAAAGAAATTAGCTATTTATTTCAATGCACCCATCACTGTAATAGGACAGATCAGATTCAGACAACTATACAGCAACGTCTTTATGACATATATAAAAGAGTACGTATTATAATATTTAGGGTGCCTTCAAATTAGGCGCTTATAGAAGTGTTGCAGTGGCGCCGCAGCGTCGCGCTACTCATTTACATACAATATTTAGAAGCGCAGTTGTTTTGTAGAGCTCCTTGTGAAAGAGTTCGTCCATGGTAGTACTGCCACCTTACCTATTTCTGCCGCCAAGCAGTAATGTTAGCATTACTGTGTTCCGGTTTTGAAGGGTAAGGGTGCTGGTGATATTACAGGCATATGGGACTTGTCAACTTATGTCTCATGGTGACGGGCGCAGTGGCAGTGCAAGTCAGATCTTTTCGATTTAAAGCACTTAGTCCTACTGCAACTGTTATGGACAGGCGTATCATTTACCGCCAGGTGGGCAACATGTTTCGTCCAGTCACTTGGTCTGATAAAAAAAAAAACGCGCTGCTGCCGCGCCACAGTCGCGCAACTGCAGTGCTTCTACAAGCGTCTAATATGATGGCGCCCTTAATCTAATTTCAACACAGATTAAATTTAATCATATTATAATATTCGTTGTATATTCGTTGTATGTAGAGAGCACGTCAAGTTTCACACTTAAGGCTTAAATCCAACCCTATGCCCCTTGCAATAAGAACTGTCCAAAGTACAAAGTGTCAAGCTTGGCGTGCTCTTGATTGTACATTAGTCATTTAAGCAAATTGATCTGCTTAACTCTAAATGATGTTAAAGCTTGTATTGCAGCTGTTAGTAGCCCTTGGTAGAAAGTTAACCCTTCGATATAAGTATACACGATTTGAAAATCTTAACTTTATTCCACTTAATCCACTCGCATACATCGTTGTCAACAGGTGAATTCAGTAAAAGCGTGGAGCTCATAAAGCAGAACATTCAAAGTCTCGAGTACCAGTTTGGGTCGTTCAGTGTGGAGGTAACTGTAGAATTATTTTAAAAACCCACAATACCCACGGGTATAAAATCCTAGTAACAAAGTTTTTGTCTATAAACGATATAATGTGAAATAATTCTTAACAACATATAAAATTAATTTCATTATCTGAATTCTTGCTCTATTCCTTTAGCTGGTTGTTATTGCCCTTTTAATGTGCTTTCAGGTTGCGCATGAACTCAGGAAGCTGTCAGATGTGATGCTGGAGAGGATCATAAATTCACCGCAAAATCCTGATTACAGGTACTTTCATAATCTTGCCATTCCCAGGTATTGTTCATGGTGAGAATGTACTCATCGCACAGTGTTGTACTCCTCCAAACTTGTTATTTAATTTCATTTCTTAATTGCATGAAATGTACACAGGTTCGGACCTTATATTAATCATACCTAGAAAACGTATGAACCCAGCAAGGCACAGCAACATAGAAATGAGGCAGGTCGACGTTATAGAAAGAACAATGGCGAACTCCCGTATACATTTTTATTGACATAATTTATGTGCGCCAGTTTATGTATTATAGAGTTAAATTCCGTTCAGAACACTTTATCAAAATGAATATAGTCGTCTGTCGGCGTTGGTTTAGTTATAACTCAATTCTGGCGTAATATAGTAACAAACCTTGAAGTACATTTTTAAAACGGTGGCAAATGCTAATTAAAATACCTTTTTAACATTAGTTTTCGTGTGGACCATAGGTTCCCAACTTTATAGCTCACCGCCCATTTAGGCAAGATAAAAAAATTTCAACTCCACTACCACAAAAGTAATTGAAAACACGTATTTTTCATATTACAACAAAAAAATCACAAGGAAAAAATATAAGTGTATATTGTAGTGTAGTTTATGTACACGATTCAGGATTTTTTCAAATGCAGTAACACCCCCTGGACAGTATCGACACCTACCTTGGACTCTTTAGCGCCCACTCTCCCCACCCACTGGGCGATAGGGACCACTTTGGGAAACTATGGTGTGGGCAGTTGAAGAAATTTTTGTTGTATAATATACCGGAATATAATGATTATTAAAATTTTAATATTTTCTATGAAATTATTTAATTAAACCAAAATTCAAACGTTGTTCGTAGGGACTGGTGCCTGGAAGCTCACAAGGTGATAAAGAAAGCGGTGCAGCTGATGGAGCTCAACTACGGTTCGTGGGAGCCGCTTGTCAAGCGACTCAAGCAACAGGTCACATTTCACATACTTTTCATTCTTCTTGCGTTAGTCGTCACGTTAACGTTAATAACGTATAAATCTTTCTTAATCTTTCGGAAATGAGGTGTGAGTCCATTGAACACAATGTCCCCACGCTGCTGTGCAATGAAAAACTATCTCAGTGTCCATGTGGGTTGTTTTATAATCAGTTAATTTTATGTTATGGCTACCTCCGTAGTGGAGTTGCCTGCACATCGGTTTTCATGGTGTCGCCATCTCGGAGGTCCCGGGTTCGATCCCCGGCCGAGTCATGTATGAAACTAACTTTTCTATATCTGTATCTGTGTCTTTTCTATGTCTGGGTGTTTGTGGCACCGTCATTGTTTTTGATTTCCATAACACAAGTGTCACGTACTTACTTTGGGACCATAACCAAGTATATGATGTGTTATGTATGTAGGTATGTGTGGCTGCGCCCACCACCAGTTCATATTATAATAAATGAGTGCAAAGCTAACCAGCGATCGTTTCACTTGTCAACGCAGCTCCGTTCCGTATATTTAACAGTGGCGACGAACTACCCGCAACAAAAAAAAAATATTGTGCAAAATGGCGAATATTAGTGCTCAATTCGGGATTTTAAATAGTTTCGATCACAATACACACACATGGAAAACGTATAAAGGTCGTATTGGGCAATATTTCGTAGCAAATAATTTTAATGAATCGACGGATCCTGAGGGCAAGAGAAGAAAGGCGATCCTGCTAAGCGCACTCACAGAGGGTACCTACAAGCTAGCAACGGACCTGACTTTACCCAAGGAAATCGACGACGTGCCCTACGAAGATTTATTAAATCTTTTAGACACTCACTTCACACCAAAGAGTGTCGGGTTTGGTGAGCGTCACAACTTTTACGCGGCCGCTCAACAAGTGGGTGAAACCCATTCTCAGTGGGCAGCGAGATTACGAGGTCTGACTGCAAAGTGTGGCTTCCTCAATGTCGAAGAGGCGCTGCGCGACAAGTTCATAATGGGCATGCTACCGGGACGAGAAAAAGAAGAGCTGTACGCAAAGGATTTAGCCGGTCTCACGCTAGCCAAGGTCGTGGAGACCGCGGAGAACCATGTCAGGGCACGGAGCGCCGCGGCCGCAAGCTCCGCCGCCGGCGGCGCCGGCCTAGCGAGCGCGTCCCATGATCAGTTATTCAAGATCTCAAACAACGGGAATCGTGGAAGTGTAGGCAAAGTAAAGTGTAGTGTTTGTGGGTTTACGAATCATAAGTCCTCGGAGTGTAAATTTGCAAATTACGTTTGCAAAAAGTGTCACGTGAAAGGCCATTTGCGTAAAATGTGTTCTAAAGTGAATTACGTAAAGGTGGATTGCGGTGGCCAGGGTGAGGATGACGAAAGCGATGACGGTGAGCTTTATTACATTCGTTCATTTAGGGGTGCACCCATGGTAGAAACAGTTCTAATTAAAAATAGACCGTTTCAATTTGAAATAGACAGTGGGTCAACAGTAACTGTAGTGTCGGAGGTCTTGTACAAAACTCATTTTAAAGATGTGCCGTTATCCAATACTATGAAACAGCTGATGACGTACAATGGAAAGAAAATTGAATGTGTAGGTATATTTCGTTTGCCGATAAGTTATGCGGGACAAACTCACGTTATTGTCTTTTATGTAATACGTGACGGAGGCCCGCCTCTTCTGGGTAGGGATTTTATATCAGCGTTTAAATTGCAATTGGTACCGGTGAATTTTTGTGTGGATTCTGTACCACCTGTTGAATTGTTGCAACAACAATATTCAGAACTCATCGTCGGAATTCGATTGTCTCGCAGTAGCGCAGACGGAATCAGCTAGCATCTCATCGTCCCTCTGTAGAGTTCCGCTCGCATATTCGTCCTCTCCCGACCATACTCAGAGCTGTTTTCGGACAAATTAGGCACTTTTAACAAGTACAAAATTAAGTTGTTGTTGAAAGATAATGCTAAACCGGTTTTCTGCAAGGCACGTCCCGTCGCATTCGCTTTGCGCGATAAGGTCAATCACGAAATTGACAGGTTGGTCCGGTTAGGTATTATTGAGCCTGTCGAGCACTCAGAATACGCATCTCCGATAGTTCCAGTTCTTAAAAAGAATGGGTCAGTCAGATTGTGTGCCGATTACTCTAGAACTATAAACAAACAGCTGCAGGTGGAAAAATATCCACTTCCCACAACTAGTGAACTGTTTTCTAAAATACATGGGGGTCAACACTTTAGTAAATTAGATTTATCTATGGCATATAACCAGTTTGTTTTAGATAACGAGTCAAAAAATCTTACTTGCATAAATACAAACCGTGGGTTATATACTTTCTCTCGATTAGTATTTGGGTTAGCCAGCGCACCCTCCATTTTTCAACGCGCAATCGAAGGGGTGCTTTCAGGTCTAGATGGCGTATTATGTCTATTAGATGACATTTTGGTCACTGGTAAGGACTGGAAGGAGCATCTTGAAAGGCTGAATGCTGTGCTGAAGCGGCTGCAGGACGCAGGCCTTACATTACAAAAAGAAAAATGTAGATTTTTTCAGGATAAAGTTCATTATCTTGGCTATATCATTACGAAAGACGGGTTGAAGAAAGCACCGGAAAAAATTAAGGCCATGGTTGAAGCACCAGTTCCGAAAAATGTTAGTGAGTTGCAGTCATTCCTAGGGCTCATAAACTATTATAGGAATTTTGTACGAAATGCATCCGCAATCCTCAGTCCTTTATATGAATTATTGAAAAAGGGTTGTAAATGGGACTGGAATGAAGTTCATGATACGGCATTTCGAGAAATTAAAAAAGTTATGACATCGGAACAGGTTCTTACACATTTCGATTCAAGTGCGACGATCATTTTAACCGTCGACGCTTCTCCTAAGGGGTTGGGAGCTATTCTTTCTCAAATAGGTAAAGACGGTGTAGAACGACCCTTATCTTTCATGTCGCGTACGTTAAATGCGGCGGAAAAGCGATATGCTCAAATACAGAAAGAGGCAACTGCAATAATTTATGGCGTGCGACGATTCCATCAATATTTGTATGGCAGAAGCGAACCTTTCATATTACGAACGGACCACAAGCCACTTCTGTCCATTTTCGGGCCACATAAGGGCATTCCAGAGATGTCTGCAAATAGATTACAACGGTACGCTTTGTTTCTGAGTAGCTATAACTACAAAATAGAATACGTTCGCAGCGCTGATAACAGTGCGGACTACCTGTCGCGCGCGAGCCTGCCGAGAGAAGTGCACGAGTGCGCGTGCACCGAACAATGCAAGTGCTGCGATTGCGAGGTAGCATATGACCGGGCGACCTATGTCTGTTTCGTAGTAGACGGCAGCATGCCCGTCACTTTACACAGATTACGCGAAGAAACAAAATCGGACATAGTCTTACGTCTAGTCATTAACTGCATTATGAAAGGCTGGCCGCCTAAAGTTGATGATATTCGGTTAAAACCGTATCATTTGTGTAGATCACAGCTGTCTTATGAGAATGGATGCGTAATGAGAGGTCATAAGGTCGTCATCCCCGCGAGTTTACACCAGACAATGTTAAAAGAATTACATTCGTCGCATTTAGGTATAGTTAAAACAAAGGGCGAGGCTCGTTCTAGATTTTGGTTTCCAGGAATTGACCAAGCGGTGGAAACCATGATAGGTACGTGTGATGTGTGCATTCAGTTGCGCCCCTCGCCGCCCCGCGCCCCGCTGACTCCGTGGGAGTACCCAGCTCGATCATTTGATAGAATTCACATAGATTTCCTTGGTCCAATTAAAGGTTGTGTATACTTAGTAGCAGTAGACGCACATACTAAGTGGGTAGAGGTATACAATATGAAAACGTCCACGTCATCAGCGGCAGTGATTTTAAAATTATGTGAATTTATGTCTAGATTCGGTGTTCCTAAAACGATTGTTAGTGATAACGGCACAGCTTTTTGTTCGCGGGAATTTGAGTTGTTTTGTTCAACAAACGGGATTTCGCATATGACGTCACCGGTCTACCACCCGTCGAGCAACGGCCAGGTCGAAAGTTTTGTAAAAATTGTGAAAAGGGGAATAAAGTCGTGTCTTTTGTTGGATCTCAACGCGGGGGATACGTGGACAAAATTACTGAAATACCTAATGGATTACCGTAACTCTGTTAACACTACCACGGGGCTGTCTCCGGCTCAACTGGTATTCGGTCACAAGTTAAGATCTAGATTAGATTTGATTGATCCAAACTCATCGGCACCCTCGCCACCGCCGTCGCCTGATATAATAAATAACCAACAGTGTACACGAAATAAGGAAGGGAAAACCAGAGTTAAAAAATTAAAGAAAAACGACATTGTACTGTACAAAAAATTTATTAATAAAACAAAGTATACATGGTGTAAAGGAATCGTACAGAAAAAATTAGGAAATGTTCTATATTTAGTGAAAGATATCGATAGTTCGGAAATGTATAAAAGACACATAAATCAATTAATGTTGTACAAAGGGACTAGTAACAATTATTGGGACTCGGTACATAGTTCAAATGTAAACTTACCTGTTGCGTCACCGCCGCCGCCGCTGCCGCCGCCACAGTCGCCTCCGCCGCCGCCGCCGCCGTCTTCGCCGCTGTCGTCTCTGACACCGCTGTCCTCGTCGGAACCATTATCGCTGTCTCCCGAATCACCGGAACCCCAGGTTGAACTCCCATCACCGAATATTGCTTCACAGTCAGCCAGTGGAAGGAGAGCCGAACTGTATGTGCCGAGCGATTCTCCATGGTCGGGAGAGGACGAATATGCGAGCGGAACTCTACAGAGGGACGATGAGATGCTAGCTGATTCCGTCTGCGCTACTGCGAGACAATCGAATTCCGACGATGAGTTCTACGAAGCGGAAGCCGAAGTCGATACCCGGGACAAGCCACAGGGTCCCGGAGTTGTACCAAAAAGATTGTTACGCCCACGTCCCATTGTGTCTTATAAAAAGTACTTTTAATATTTGTATTAATTTAGGTTATTATAATAGAGGGAGGAATGTTATGTATGTAGGTATGTGTGGCTGCGCCCACCACCAGTTCATATTATAATAAATGAGTGCAAAGCTAACCAGCGATCGTTTCACTTGTCAACGCAGCTCCGTTCCGTATATTTAACATGATGTTGTCTAATATTAAGTAAACGTTAACACCTTTTGTCAATAGATTTGTGATGACTTACTTGCACTTAACTAATTATAGTAGCAGTAGGGCTCATTGTGAAAGAGTTCGTCCAGGGTTTTTGCCGCCAAGCGGTTAATGTGTTTCCAAGGGTAAAGGTTGTGGTGAAACTACAAACACATTGACAACTTATGGCTCAGGATATCGGGCAATGGTAGTGCCCTTCAGATCTTTGTGATTTAAAGTATGAATGTACTGCAGCTGTTATTTACAGGCGTGTCGCTTACTACCAGCCACACGACTTATTCGCTCCGTCACTTAGTGTTATGAAAGAAAAAAAACTAAAACTTGAATTGGTTTTTTAATATAACATTCTGTGTGTGCTAAAGGAGGCGCTGGTAGCGTCGCAGCTCGATATGAGCCGCACACCAGACTCGGACAGCGTTCACCACAGCCTGCACTACAACCTCAAGATTTAATCAGTACGTCGCCGTCGGCGAGATGTCGCCAGTGAGATACGCTGTGATACACTATATTCTAGAGTATAATAGAAAATATTGTCCCGGACCACAGACCACATAAATTTCTCCCGTGTTCCGGACATTTTACAGCTTTAAACGCGCACACTACACGTTTATCAAATTTTGTGTTTCAAATTTCAATAATCTAAGCTAAAAAGTGTCCACTAAATAAAACACTATTAGGTGCATTAAGACTGGCTAGCAGATCGGTTCGGGTCTTCAAAAGCCAGCAGTTTGCTGACACTTCACACGGTCAAAAAACCTTGCATTGAGAGTAGAGGGGTCATTGTCTTTTGATTAGGTCGAATAACTTACTCATTTGACAGTAATTGATTCCGATGATTGTCGGACAGAGAACTCCTGAGTAGGCCTGCTCCGCTCCGCTCGGATCAATGACGCGAAACGCACTATGTGATTTTCGCATTATATAAAGGTTTTTCTAATCGGCTTAATGCGAACCCGTGTCGATAAGTGTGGTGACTTCCTTACATTTGCTACCACTAAGCATGAAAAGTTGTCGAAACGTGATATAGCATGGGAGGACGCATTGGTTTATTATTGTTATGTATGTACCTACCGCGAAAATTATCGCTATTATACAGCATTTTGTTATCACTCCATATTGTAACGAGTTAGCAACACTATTTTTACTAGAGGTTATAGACATAAGCAACTACAAGGCAATTCATTCCAATTTGATTGGATATTAGGCGAATTAACTCTTAATCAAATAATAGTACATTGTGTAAAATGGGTTAGTTACGACAAGGAGGGCAGCATACGAGTAGCACTAGTGGCCATTTATCGCAAAGTTACGTGAGTTTATCAACGCGAGACAAGTATTTAAACTGTTGTGATTTACAAAATCAAACCGCATCGCCGTGTTCATAAGGTAGACGTTACTATGTGTAGCGTCGTCTAAAATAAATTAAAAAAAAAACTAACTTGTAAAGCCTGATCGACGTTCAGCTTTAGGGCGCGTTCCCATTATGTTGTAACGTTTTATTTATCGTTGGACGACTGTCGCGTTCAGCCTTTTTCCATAAAACGACTATCTATTGTGACTGTGTAGTGGATGTTTAGTTCATCGTTGAACGACTGTCGTATATAGCCGTTTCCACTAGATCGTGACGACAATTTATCGGTACGGCAGTCACCTTGTCGTTTGCTCGACAAATCGCAATCGCAACTTTAAACGGTTCTCGTTTGAAGTTGCGATTACTGTCGTCACATTTTTATCGTCGCGTTTTATTTATCTTTGGACGACTGTCGTTCTAGCTCTTCCCATTATCATGACAGTTTGTAGTCGCAACGACAAAAAAGTCGTGACAGTTAATCTTGTTGTACTATATGTGAACAACTTAATTTAAATCAATTAGCCACGACACTTTAAACTGCACGACTATCTGTAGCTGCGACATAGTGGGAACGCGCTCTTACCTGAGTTTAAGGCCACAAAGTGAATGACAGAGATCAGTGGCGCGGTCGCTACAGCGATGCGGGCGGCGCGGTAAAAGTTACCTTTTTCGACGCCACCGAGCAAATTGCTTAGTTTGTGGCAGTAAAGTGACGTAACCAGAGTGTGAGCGCGATGTCGGTACTGTGACGTGACCTTTATATAGTTCCTAATTCTTTTATTCAGTATGAGTTATTATGAGCGCAAGAAGACGTGAATCCGTTTACTACAAATAAAGGAAGCAAAAAAGCAAGTTTTGCCTAAATTACGAAGACCAAAAACCAAATCTGGATACGTTCTATCATAACGCTAGAATGACAGTGGAAACGTTTGGCTACATTGTTGCAAAAAAAAATCAAGCCAGACTTGGAATCACGAATAGCATCTTTATTCTTCTCTTTATAGTGATTAATAATAATCCTTCTATTTTTATGGTCGATATGTTTGCTATTGGTGGTCTTTCTAAAACTGTTGGAACTATTTCCTCCGACGACATCTAGTAACAGTAGAGACATTTAGTAGCAGTAGAGCTCCTTGTGAAGAGTTCGTCCAGGGAAGTACTGCCACCTTACCTGCCTGCTTATTTTTAGATTTTGAAGGGCTGGTGCTGGTGAAATTTCAGGCATATGGGACTTGTCAAATTAAGTTCAGGGTGTCGGGCGCAGCGACAGTACCCCTCAGATCTTTGTGATTCCAAGATACGAGTGGCATTGCAATGTTATGGATTGGCCTGCGTTTACAAGCAGGCGCACGAATTGTTCGTCCCGTCACTTTAATTATGAAAAAAAAATTCTAAATTTGATTGATCGAATAATATATGTGGGCAAGCAACAAGACGATACTATGACTATTCGAATGCGCATTCACCGCTCGACTGGAGCGCAACACTTGTGCACCGTCGCCCGCGCCGCTGCTGTCGAGAGCAACATATGATGCAAAACTTAGGCATTTTGATCAAGCCGTCCGGTCTATAGCATATGCTCGCAGCTGTACTTGTGATTATTGCATCAGCGTAGTTACTCCAAGCTTAAGAACTTTAGAAAGGGTATCATAAAATTACACACTAGGCGGTAATAATAATAATAACGTACGGTTAGTTTTAAGTGACGAGAAACGAAACCATATACAAAGAGTAAGAAATTTTTATCTTTGTTATAGTTATACATTGAAAACAAACGTTTGATTGGTGTTGTTGACAATACTTAATCGTATTTGTGTGTATTTTGTTACTCGGATAGAAGTTCGTGTAGCTTAAGATTCTTTGGTCATATTTTGTATCTCGTGAATGTTACACGTAATGATTTTGAAATAATAACGAAAGATAATTTACAATACATTTCATATTCTGACCTATCTAAATATTATTGAAATACTCGTAACAAAATTCACAATTCGGTGTCTTCATTCATAAATGGTATACCAAGGAATCTCAAGCTATATGAACAAATAATATTTTATACCGTGCCTTTATATATTTTATGTTTACAATTTTACAACATTCGAAATAAAGCCGTAAGTATTTTAATATTTGTATTTATAAGAGTAACGCACCATTTTCTCGTATAAGTATGTGTAGTGCTAATTTTAATATTTAAGTAAATTGTTCAAAAACTGCCTAACGAATAGTGAGATATTACTATCCTGAATATATTAGTCGAAAGTAAACTAGTGTAACTATTTAGTACAGAGGCATAATCAGTGAGTGGGACAAGTGTTGTTACCACTGTGAATAGATATTGCTTCCGATGTGATTTCTTAAGGACAAACACGCGCGCGCTGCATACAATCAAAGCATACACATGCGCTGCATACACATGATGTCACATGATGCCAGTGTCGCGGATGGATGTTAGATGTATGATTAGAAAATTAAAATGAAATATTGAACAATTCTGAAATTCAGGCATTCTAGTTCAAACAACCATCAACAGCAATAAACAAGGCTACTATTTGATGTGATTCTTTTAAACACTGAGCTTACGCTTCGATTCTGTAATGAATGCCGCATGCGATGACACACGCTGTGCAACTCTCTGAGAAAGTGTGCATCCGCACACGGCGCTTATGCGAATGTGAGCGATACTATTTGTGTTATTATGCTATAATAATGTTTTCAATTGAGTGTCCGCGGTCGCGTCAGATGATAGAGATAGCAACAATATTATCAAATTTCTAACGTCCCTGCAAGACCTACGAAGATTATCTTCTTGATGGAAATGCGAACATATCATGCGATACATGAGCGGACCAACTGCGCAGTTCGTCTGTACAGATTAGCAGAACCATTGCAATGGTTTTTTAACGAATCGATTGTTCCGCCGCGGTTTGTCAGCTGGATATACAAGCTTTCCCGAAAACATATTATAATTACGTTCAATGCTTTATAATAAGAGTATAGCTCCTAGTGAAAGAGTTCGTCCAGGGAAGTACTTGACACCTTACCTATTTCTGCCGTCAACCGGTAATGTGAGCATTACTTGAAGAGCTGGTGAAATTACAGGCACATGGGGCTTGACAACTTGTCTTTGGGTGACGGGCGCAGTGGTAGTGCCCCTCAGATCTTTGCGATTTAAAGCTCTAAGTGGTACTGCAATTGCTATGGACAGGCGTGTCGCTTAACACCAGGCGCACGACTTGTTCGTCCTCAACACGCTTGAGGCACAGTAGAATTGAGATACTCATACTGTCTACTAACACCATTCTTTCTATTCCAATTATCCTAGACTATAACCAAATATTGTATAGCGAAGTCTTTTCATATTTTTATCTTAGGAACTTTTTCTAGTCTTCATAGCTAAATTTTTTCTAAGGAAAACCGGTTGCGCCAAACATTATTGACTGCTCTGTAAGTGAAGCGACATTATATCGGACTGTTTAGCAAAAATATATTTTGCGCCACATTCACTCTACGTACGTCACGATCAGGACTTATTTCCAGAGATTTTCATAATATAAAATCCCTAAAATTTTTCACATCCACTAAAAGGCATGTAATACGGTTCACCCTCAGATAATCATACTAATGTTATTATGTGTGAGATACATTGATAGGGTATTTGGGTAATTTTCTTTCTCTACCTAATTCTGCTGGAAATATTTATTGCTTATGTATTCGAGTAAATTATCGTGAAATATTAAACAATATTTCATGACGGCTACAATAGCTACTGTCCATTTATGTACCCGACGAAGTATTTACCGGGGACTCTTCAATATAATTAATTATCTTGAGGTCAGGCGGAACAACAACATGCTCGTCTCTGTTTGTCAGGTCTTACGCGGCGAGTCGGATTGTCCTGAACTTGTGGGGCAACTTGTAAGGATATTTGTCCCAGGCGTCCCTAAAATCGTCGTAAAAAAGTCGTAAACTCTTCGCAGTGCCTTTGCGCGTACGATATCGCATAGGAACTTGCCGCTGCCTCGTGCCTTTACAATACTCAACGAACTTGGCATCGGCACCGGAGTGTGATCTACTAGCGTGGCAATGGGCGGTTGTGTGTTGGGAGTACTTGAGAAACGGTGGAAGCTAGGGAATGGAGTATATTATTACAAAGTATTTATCCTTTTTAAACGTTTTTGTTATTATTATTTTATAATTAGCTTAGTTTTCACGGTGCATTCGTTACAGAAATTGCCACCAAAATTAGGTAGTGAAAACTATAGATTTTATACTAAATCTATGGTGAAAACTAACTCGAAAATTACCCATTTCCTTTTTTGCACAAACACGCCAAGACAAGAATAAAATGTAATTGTTATATAAAATAGTAAAATGCGGCTAACGGCGTTGGCTTTTTGCTATACAGAGTGCGTCTACTTGTGATAAAAATAATAAGAAATACTACTTCGGCGTTATTGGTACTTCACTCGATTCACTCTGGACTGTTTTAATGACACACGTTTAATCAATTATTGTAGCATCATGTTCTCGTCTTTCCGAATTACCCTTGTTTACACGTTTGTCAAAATGTTTTACGCAACCGAATTTATTTTTTAGTAGGAAATAATGAAACAAAATGTACAATTTTATGGAACACCAATAGTATAGAAGTTTTATACATTGAATAATCATAAGAGGCCTGGTACAAATATCGCGATTCAATTAAGTCTAATTTTAACATACAATATGAGATGTTTTATAGTGTGGCGACATCCCATGCAGGAGGATGCTTCCGTGGCCAGTATTTAGCTCAAAAACCTGTCAAATTACTGGCGTACATAAAGTACAGCAAGTTTCCGTTGAACATTCATTGTGGAACTCGTGGCTGGTGTGTCGCTACACAAAATGGTCCTTATTATTATGTGGTAAAGTCATCACTTTGTCATCAACTATATTTGTTTGTTTGTATGTTACGAGATTCGTTTTTATACAAAATGACATATCGCACCTTTAAAATAAAAGTGACCCAACACTAAATATTAACTTTTTGGGAATACGCATAATGTTCTAGAAAATCATGATAAAATTCAGCATAGTGGCGTATAGCCTCAATGAGTCAATTTCAAATTAGCAACCAAATAAACAATGATTTTTAAAGTTGTTTTGTTGGTAGGTCAATGGGTATAACTCACCTTTTTTGAACTAGGTCACTTTTATTCTAAAGGTGCGATTTGGGTGCGATATATATTTAGAGTTGCACCGAAATTAATCGTCCGTATAGCGTGTAATAGGGTATGTGACAAGTTTCGAAAATTAAACGCTTTTTAAATTGATTGTGAAATGAATTGAATTTCTTTGAAATATAAAATAGTTACAGGTATTCAGTAAATCAGGAGTTACAAAGGATCGGCCATAGCGGGTTGCGACGTCGCACCTTAATGGTGTGTTAAACAGGCTACATATCAATGATCATTTGCTAATAAGAAAAGGACCACTCCGCCGCTATTAACATTAACTATTAATGTCTCTGGTGTTAGGT